TATATTCTATTCATACGGTCCGTATGAATAGAATATTATAGATAATGAATTATATCCTAGAAAATCTTGTTGGCATTAAATAACCCCTTAAGGTGTTGATATGCCGTAAAACAAAATAAACCAAAGTAAAAAAAATCAGCACCAAAAAACACAACAGACCTTGGTGCAACGATAAATGTAAAAAGCCATCAGGATAAGAACAGGCCTGAGATAATTCAGCAGACAACCGATAATTTTTAATTTGCTGCAATTTAAGCAACGCCGAGCAAAAGCACGGAAAATAGTTAAAGAAACCAAAAAAGAATGCTGGAAAAACTACGTCAACAGACTCAATTCTGCTGCAAAAACAAAATCTGTCTGGAATAGTATAAAGAAAATGCAAAACAAACACTGCAAAACGCTTTTCAATAAATAATTCTAAAATAACCAACAAAAAGTATATCATACTATTTACATTGCTCGGACTATCATCCTCATCTTTGTCGCCATATTTATCACAACGTTTCGGCCGTTGTATGCTCCGGCCTTCTTCAGATGGTTGGAATGTCGAACTTTATTTCGCTCGCTGTTCTATTTCCACGTGTCATGTCTAATGGGTGTCAGTTATCAGTTATCTCCTGTTATTTCCCCTCTCCAAGTTCTCCACCGCCTTAACCAGGTATTGAAGGATATCGCTGACCAACTAACCAAAACGATCTCTTAAAACTAATCTGCCAAGAATGGTAGTCAACAATTTCTAAAGCTCAAACAAAAAGCAGAAAAACAAAAACTAAACTTTAAATCAAATAATGCCTAGAGATATAACCTACTATTCACTCTAGAGGAACTAAATGAATCTTTTTAAAAAGCCACAATACAGGGTGTTGAAATCCACTACGAATTCATAATCTAACAAATCATTATTACTGTTATTAAATATGTATAACATATGGACAAATGGCAACTTCCCATGAAGTCAGCCATTTTTTATCCATATTCCAAAATCTGGAAAGGATAACACAGACACTAAAAAACTAAAGAACGATAGCATTAACCAGTTGACTATGTAAAACTATGGAGATAATGGTCAACAACAGGTTATCTGGAAGCTAAAGGCTTAATCAGCGATTTCCTGTGTGTTTTTACAGGGAAAAAAGAAGCACAACGGACTACTTAAAAGGCCTAGAAACTATTGTAAATGAAGCCGTCATTAAGAAGGGACATGGCACGACAAGCTTTTATGACTTACAAAAGGTGTACAACACGACATGGAAATTTGGTATCTTGAGAGGCTTGCATAAACTGGACCTAAAAGGAGGAATGTCTCGATTCCTTGAGAATTTCTGGAAGATCGAATATTTCAAGTCCGTATAGGAACTACGCTACCAGAACATAAAATCAAGAAGGGATTCCAGAAGAAAGCAGTTTTCTGGTAACCCTATCTACTAAAAAATTAACTCTATATTTAAATCTCTAAGCCCAGGAGTGAGATGATCCATATACGTCGACGAGTTGTTAACAATGTACAGATTTCGATATATCAATACCATAGAAAGGCAGCTCCAACAATGTCTCAATACGATACACAGACGAGCCACTGAAAATGGATTCACCTTTTTTAAAACTAAATGCCCGCATTTCTGCAAATAAAGAAAATTCGACAAATACCGCTCTTAGACGGAGAAGAAATCTCAGTAGTCGAACAACACAACTTATAAGGCATCAGCTTTGACAAAAAATTAACATCCATTCCGTATTTAAAATATTTAAAAATAAAATGTAGAAAAGTCATTCAACTTCTACGTGTAGTGGCCCATACTGAATGATGAGATCGACAAAAATTAATTAAATAATATAGAATGCTATTTCACTCTAAACTAGATTACGCTAATTTCATATATGTGGCGACCAGAAAATCCTACCTAAAAAAATACTTAACGTCACCTATTATCAACTCCCCAGACTAGTACATGGGGCTTTTAGAACATGTCCAGTAGAGAGCTTATACACGGAAGCTAATGAGACACGTCCACATTTAATGTGCGCTTTATTGTCACTACAGTACTACGTCAAATTAAAATCATGTCCAACTAACCTAGGTTAGAGCAGTACATTTGAACCTAATTACTGTGATCTATTCCATCAAAAAACAATACCATAGAGCCCTATGGATTCAGGATGAAATCCATTGCTAACAAGTTAGGGACCACACTCTGAAACATACAAGAAATGACTGTGGCAAGTATTCCATCATGGACAATGAAGCAATCCGAAGTCTTTCTAGAAGTAAATAAACACCTTAAAAAAAACGCACCCAATAACATTCTAGGACAAGGTTCGTAGCATATTGGAAAACTACGCTAAGCATAAACCCATCTATAGAGACGGAGGTTAATGTGTGAGGACAAGATAGGATGTGCAGCAGTGAGCCAAAATATTATCAAAAAGCGCCTCTCAAGGGAAAGCTCTATTTTCAGTGTGGTGGCTTACGCGGTAGAGAGAGATCTGAACATCCTCACACAGAGCAAACAAAAAACATTCTTAATTCGTTCGGATTCACTATTCGTCATAATGGCTTCGAAGGAAAAAATCTAACAATCCACTCATTATCAAACTATTATGCAAACTTAGCAGCACTACTTGAAAACATAACGGACATCAAGCTATGTTGTATTCTTAGCCACGTCGGAGTGGAAGTTAACAATAAAGCAGACTTAGCAGTCATATTTCGAAGTAAGAAAACTGTGGCATCTTAAGACTACAATTATCACTGTTGTGTTAGGGACATTTGGGTGTGATAAAGAAAGACAGCGAAGATTCTGTGAGTAAAACCCCTCGACAAATCAACACCTCACAGCTACAAATGATTGTGCGGAACTGAACATATCATCCGCAAAACTCCCTCCATCTAAACGAAACGTCCCAAATATGCATAAATAACTCACCTACACTGCCATCTCTACTCATAGGCACCTGAAGAGAATTGGTAATGAAGAACTTAAAATTAGTCTCTAGAAGGATGATATAATGCACAACAACAACAATAATAATGGTAAGAAAAAACAAAAATAACCCAAATACTACTAGCATTAATGATAAGGAAAAAATCAAAGACAACAAAATGAAATACTATTTCTAACAATGATGATGAAACAAAATTAGTAAAAACATTACTCATTACAACTATTGTTACTTCTAGCAATGATAATTATAATGAGAGGAGGATGATAAAAACAAAATTAGCAAAAATGAATTACTACTAGTATTACTACTATTAACATAATAATATTACTAACAATATGTCCTATAACGAGAAATAAAGTTACTTATATTCACAGAACAGGAACCGGCCATCAGTTTCAGTGCAATCAAAGGCCAAGCTAGACAAATCACAAGAAGAAAGCAAATGCAGGATGTGTGGACAAGACGATGAGGCAGTTATTCATGTACGCAGTGAATGTCTCAAGTATGCGCAGAAAGAGTACAGGCGACAATATGATTGAAGGTTGTAGGTAGCAGGGAAGCAAAAATTGGTAGGGAGGTCCACAGGCGAAATCTACGAGAAAAGAAGCTGTTGAAGAAACTTAAAAGATATAAAACAAACAGATCAGAATCTAGTTAAGAATCTAAAGATATGGAATATGACTGTTGACGTAATTTATCGTTAAGGGTGCACTTGGAATGTCACCTAGAAAGCTGAAAGAGCGTTTAGAAAAATCAGAAATTAGCCCCCCCCCGAACAGAATTTCTATTGACTACGTCAATGTTCGACACCAACATACTGTCAGTCTGTTATGTGCCATGAGTGATACACGTTTAGGCGATCATGTATCCTTCGATAATTGACTGAGGAGGCAAATTTTTTACCGCATTAGGTTGCTATTTATGTCTGCTGTAGACCAGTTGCAATCCAAGGCTATAGAACCCGCACTATTCTGCTATTTACCCAGTGCTGGGAGAGAAGAGAATTCATACCTTTCCCAAGGGTATTAGCACATAAGTGGCTGTAATGGATTTGACTAGAATTCGAACTCGGCTCTCTGATTCTTCAATCCGAGCCACAATCCATTACTCTGCCGTACCTTATTAAAGGAGGCACAATAGTATTATTCAGTCAGTTATGTGCCATGCGTGATACACGCTGAGGCGATCATGTATCTTTCGATACATGACTGACGAGGCAGATTTTTTTTCCCGCAGTAGGTTGCCATTTCTTTCTGCGTCAGGCCAGTTGCCATCCAAGGCTATAGAAACCGGACTGTCCGGCTATTTACTCACAGCTGGGAGAAGGGTTCATATCTTTCCACAGGGTATTAGCAAGTAATGGATTCGACTTGAATTCGAACTCAACTCTCCGATTCCTCAACCCGAGCCGCTATCCATTACTACACCGTTCCTCCTGCATACTAATGATACTAATTACTGTTTTAATTCTTTGTTTCTTTAAGATTTGACTGCTGTGTTTTTGCTCGCTCCTTTTTTTTTTTTTTTTTTTGCTTTTTTCTTTTCTTCTATTTGGTGTCTTGGAATAACCTAATAATCTTAGCGTAGTATGGCATAATGCAGGCTAAAGGAAAATGATTAATGATTTCTTCTTTTACGGCTTATCAACCCTTTTTGGATTATTTAAAGCCGAATCATAGTTTGCATTGTAAGAATTGTTTGTTGCGATGGAATAGTGCATTGGCATTTTTTTTATGAATGTCAACAATATTCCAGAAGTCGTCGTATTTAAACGATGACTGAATCTCCTTCGAAATGGTATTTGCAAGTAACGAACCCAACAGAAATTCGAACACGCAAATCTAATTTCGCGATTTGAGTCGCTAACCTCAAAACACCGGAGGTAAACGATGTCTGGAAATTTGACCTTTCTGTTTTAAAATTTCTGGCTTTTCTTTTTCCTTTTATATTTGACAAGGTTAATTGAGTATGTCTAAATAAGGCTAGTGAAAAAAAGTCACTGTGTGTTTAGAAAATCAATATGCAAGTTACAAGTTCTTGCTTCGACTCGAACACAGACTTCAGGAATTAGTGAAAAATAGGAAATTATTTTCGATTTTTTTCGTTTCTTACTTACTTTATTCCCACTTTCTTTCTTTCTTTCTTTCTTTCTTTCTTTCTTGGCTTCTTTCTTTCTTTCCACCTTTTTCTCTTTCTTTGTTATTTTCTTTCTTTTCTTTATTTTACCGCTTTCTTTCTCTCTTCCATTCTACCCCCTTTCTTTCTCTCTTTCATTCTTTCCCTCTTTCTTTCTTTCTCTCTTTCATTCTATCCCCCTTTCTTTCTCACTTTCATTATTTCCCTCTTCCTTTCTCTCTTTCATTCTATCCCCCTTTTTTTCTCTTTCTTTCTTTCCCCCTTTCTTTCTTTCCCCCTTTCTCTCTCTCTCTTTCTTTCTTTTATCCTTTTTTTCTCTCTTTCTTTCTTTCCCTCTTTCTTTCTCTCATTTCGTATTTTCTTTCTTTCTTATTTTCTTTTTTCTTTCATTGGTTCTTTCTTTACCTATTTCTTTCTTTCTTTCTTTCCCCATTTCTTTCTTTCCTTCTTTCCATCTTTCTTTCTTTCCATCTGTCTTTCTTTCTTTTTTTCCTTTTGATATTATCCTTATTTGAAAATATTTGGGTTTCTTTCACTCGCTTTTCCTTCATCTTTTTTCCTATTTTATAACCTTCCGCTTTTCCTTTCTTTTCTTCTTTTTACTTTTTCTGTTTTGCTTTCAATTTTAACTCCGTTTCTTTCGTTGTCTTTTTTTATCTTTCTTTATTTCACTGTTTTGTTTTTTCCTCTTTATTCTTACCTGCAAATTTCTTTCTTTCTTCCGTTTTCTTTCTCTCTTTCTTTTACAGTTTTCATTTTCTATTTATCGTCTTTTTTAATTTAAGTTTTTCTTCCTTTCTTTCTTCCTCCCTTTCTTTCTTCCTTTCTTTATTCATTTCTTTCTATTTTTGTTTCCTCTGTTCCCTTTAACTAAAACATTTCTTTTCTTTTTTCTTTCTCTTTTTATTAATATTTATGTCTTTTTTTGCTGTTTTTTTTTATATTTTAAACATACTTTCGTCTTCTGACGATCCTTTTGACTTGGGATCCGTCCTCGAGGGAATACCTCACTGTTTTGCATTAATTTAGAAAGGATCAGAGATATAATATGACGTCTGAGTGATTTCTGGACGACCTGGAGTAAAATAGATCAAAACCGTGCAACATATCAAATAGGTAAGCGTATTTCCCGGGCAAAAGAGCTAAACTTGGCTCAAATTGTGATGTTGTGTAACAGTCAGTTTTCGCGCTTCATTCCTTCTTTCTTTCAATTACTTAATCATATTGTCTTACCACCTTCTTTTTTTTTTAATTTTAACAACTGTCTCTATTTTTTGGTAAGTTCTTCCGCTTTACTTTGACTTTTGCACAAAAAAAGATCTAAAAAGATCTTTTGAAGAATAGAAAGCCAAAAAGTTAAGAAGAAAACAATGAATTAAAGAAGGGGGTTGAATTAAGGAAGAAGGTAAAGAGAAAGACCAAATGACAGAAAGAAAAGGAGAACAGACTTAAAGAGAGTGGTTGGCGTACTGAAAGATCGAAAAGAAAGAAGTGACTGAGAGAAAGAAAAAGGAACTGAATTGATATTAGATTTCTGACGCTGAACTTACGCAACAGATTATCTTCGGCTTCAACTTCTTAATCGGCTTTAGCTGTTTAATCTGCAGTCTGATTTTGTCTTGAAAATTTCACCTTCCTTTTCTATGCATCCTATTACAACTGCCAACTACTTTCTTTAACCTTATCAATCAGGAAAACTTACAAGCAGACATATATATATATGTGTGTGTGTGCATGTGTGTCTATATTTCTGAGATGAAGTACTATTTACACTATTTACATAATTCGAACTATTGTTCTCATCTTTGTCCCCATATTTATTACAACGTTTCGGCCTTTATATGCTCCGGCCTTCTTCAGGCGTTAGTTAGATCCAGTGACAGGACCCAAAGAGTGTGAGTTCAATACCCGGGTTAAGGCAGTAGAGAGCTTGGAGAGGGGAATTAACAGGAGATAACTGATAGCTGACATCCATTATACATGGCACGTGGAACTAGAACAGTCTAGCCCAGTGAGCGAAATAAAGGGTTCAGTTCGACATTCCAACCACCTAAGAAGGCCGGAGCGTATAACGGCCGAAACGTTGTAATAAATACGGCGACAAAGATGAGGACAATAATCCGAATAATGTATATGTCTCTCTCTCTCTCTCTCTATATATATATATATATATATTTTTCACCCCAAGGAGTGGGGGCGGTAAAGCCATTGAGACACAAGGAGTATCAGGAGGTAGAAGAATTAGAAACAGAAATATTGCTGTATTTACATTAGTCGGACAATTGTCCTCATCTTTGTCGCCATATTTGTCACAACGTGCCATGTTTGATGGATGTCACTTATCTCCTGCTAATTTTCCCTCTGAAAGTTCTCCACTGCCTTAACCAGGAATTGAACTCACCTTCTTTGGGTCTGTCACTGGATCTAACCAACGCCTTTATCCACTGTGCCACGTGTCCTTGAAGAAATATAGACATAGAAATATTGCTAAGGAGCAAGAAAAAAGAATAGTAATAAAGAAGACAGTAGATAGCGACTGACATTACATTTAAATTTTTGCAGATTAAAATGGGATGGAAAGCATGGAACTAGAAGGGATTTCCACAGGCGAGAAGTGCGAAAAAAGAAATCGTTAGCATAGAATTTACGGTTACATCTAGTGAGCTTAACTGTAAATTGATTAGACATTGACGCCAGTCAGGTACTTAAATTCAAAGAATCTAGGCACCATAGCGACGATCTTAACCGAACAATTACCATGAAAGTATATATATATATATATATATATATATATATATATATGTATGTGTGTGTGTGTGTGTGTGTGTGTGTGTGTGTGTGTGTGTGTGTGTGTTGGCTAGCCGCTCGTATCCGGGTATGACTCTAGTATTTTAATTAATTTTGTCTAGCTAATCCACCGATGTTCTCAAGCACATTTGTACTTGCTCAACACCCCCAGAGCCCAACAGTGGTTTATACTGTAAGTATACTGATCGAACCTTAGTTACCGTTTCTGGCGTAGAGTGCATTACCTGACCCAATCATTAGTTTAAACCAGGCCAGTACGCTAAAACACACAGTCACGATGACTCTTGACTCCAAATTATCCTGTCTGCTCAATTTCGTCAATAACGCTTGCCTCAGCCAATGGTTTAGAGGGGCCGCACTCTGAGAACACCCCCCAGGGCTATAACATCAACAGTAATAAACATCAAGGTCTATAACATCAAGAGTATCAACCTAGGTCTCATGATCTGAAAGGGAATGTTCTAACCACTCAATCACGTGCCTGCCTGACTGACTGCCTGCCCATCTATCTATCTATCTATCTATCTATCTATCTATCTATCTATCTATCTATCTATCTATCTATCTATCAGGCATTTAATACATTTTATCTATCTATCTATCTATCTATCTATCTTGGTCTTTTCATATTTATTTTATCTATTTATTCATCTTGGTCTTTTCATATCGATCTGATCTATTTAATCTATATCGGTTTTTTCATATCTATCTTGGTCGTTTCATATCCGTTATCTATCTATCTATCTATCTATCTATCTATCTATCTATCTATGTCTGTTCATACTTATCTATCTATGTATCTATTTATCTATCTATCTAGGTCTTTTATATCTATATTATCTATCTCTCTTGGTCTTTTCATATATATCTTATCTATCTAAGTCTTTTTATATCATTCTTATTTATCTATCTTCGTCTTTTCATAGCTATTTATCAAGGTTTTTTCATACTTATCTATCGATCTATCTATCTTGGTCTTTTCATATCTATCAATCTGTCTCGGTTTTTTCATATCTATCTGTCTTGGACTTTTCATATCTATTTATCTGTATCGGTCTTTCATATCTATTTGTATTGGACTTTTCATATCTATCTATCTTGATAAGACACCGAGGGTGTTGAAACAAAATGGCTATTTTTGTAGTGATTTTATAACATATTTATGTTATAATTTTTTTTTTTATAAATAATAATTATATCTGCTCTACTTTGTATTGAGCACTCTTTTAAGAATAGTGATTGTTGGTTATTGGAATTCATTCCGTATACACCAATTATATACTTGTATATATATGTACATGCATATATATATATATATATATATATATATATATATATATATTATATATATATATGCATGTATGTACGTAAATCTACTTAAACTTGGTGGGAGAAAAACCAGGATAACACAATTTTCAAATAAATTGACATCCGAGAAAAATGAAAAAAAAAGAAATCACCTGAAACTTCTGAACAGAGTCAAAGATATCGTCCAGTGCCTTAATTTTGTTACAAAGGAAAAAAAACATAGTAATATAATAAGTTAAAAAAAAAGAGTGCTCAATACACTAAGCAAAGCAAAAGTAAATTAATGTTTGCATTAGTCCTATAATGAATATATATATATATATATATATATATATATGTGTGTGTGTGTGTGTGTGTGTATATATATATATATATATATATATATATATATATATCCATAGACACATAACCAGACTAGACGATGTCATCTTCTGCTTTAAATTTAGACACCCCAACCTTACCTTGACTTGACCTCATTGAATGTAACTGAGATATTGATACAAATTATTAATCCTTACGCCCCATTTTTTTAAAATAATTGCTCTAGCCGTTACCATAGTAATTTCAATTTTAATAATGAATATGTTTATAAAACGCGTAATTTCAGGAATTAGTTATTAAAAGAAAAAAAAATTTGCTTGAAGATGGAACAGAGCTTGGTACTTTAATTCAATGTAATTCAAATAATTATATTGAAGTTTTCGGCTCTTGTTTTGAAACATGGGAACTCTTATACAGCGATGGAATCATATATTTAAATAAATAATTATATATATATATATATATATAATCTTATATTCATTAT